TTTACCAACCAATGATTTTTTCAAGTACGAAAACTTGAATGCAGGTGAAACATTCTCATTGTTATGGATTGCAGCCATAAATCGGTCACGAAACCCCGACCATTTGGTTAGTGTCCCATCAAAATCCCCCCACGTATTTTTCATGTCATGTTGTTGGTATGGCAGGTTTACCTGCACTGCTAATGGTGGCTGTAATATTGGCGCTGACACCAGAATCGGAGTTAAGGCATTCACTTTAGTTGAAAGTGCCGATTTTGTTGAAAATTAATTTGCTTCCACTACTGCTACAACATGATCATAAGTGTTCGCCTTCTTGGAGTCACGCTCCATCAGCTTTTGATGCGCTTCGATGAACCGCTCATAGAACTTCTCTAACCTTTCGGCACGGACCTTCACCTGCTCCAAAGTGGCATCAACAAATTCTGCCTGCCGCGTGTACTCTTCAATACGTGCAATCGACTTGCAAAGACTTTCAAGCACCCCTGCCATTTTGCGCTAGATAGAACAAAAAAAAGATACAAGTTAGTAGAAAATAATACCAATTTTCTCTAACAAATACACTCATTTACTTCTGCTTGGCTAGCGCAATTAACTTTTCTATTTATTATCTCAAAAATAAGCAGTTATCAAAGCTTCAGCAACTCGATTCGCAAATTAAATAGTATTTCACCACGATCAGCATTAATGGCTACTCGTATTTTGCTGTTCAAAGTACACACACTCTTACAGCTGTTGGGTAATACAAACATACATTTATACACATACACATGCACGATCCAGAAAATAAAGGTCGCGCCATTCGCGGACCGCTAACCCTCTCTTCGTCGATTTGACAGCATCCACCCATTCGCTGACGTCACACAATACTTTTGTTTACATTTTCTGGTTCGTGAAATTTTAGGTTATTTCAACTTTACAAATTTACAAATTGGAAAGATTTTGAGCGTTGTTTTGTTTTTTTGTGAAAACTTATAAAAAAGTTATAAATTAAAGAAAAAAATGAGGTGTGCAGTGATTAATTGTGCTAGTGTTAGTGCCAAAGGATCTGGGTGCAGTTTTTTTTACTTTTCCGGTCGACATTGAGTTGGTGGAAAAGTGGATCCAGTTCTGCCGGAGACCAACGGATTTCAACGCCCGAACCAGCGTCATCTGTGTAAAACACTTCACCACTGATGACTTCGAGAACGAGCTACCTACGAGAACCTATAAATTGAATCCGGCAACAGATCACATGCAATAAACGGCAACATTTCATTACGATGTATTTTTTATTTATTTGTTATTTGAAAATATAACACGTTCCCCTGATAAAGCTTTTTATTTACACATACTGACCTTCTGCTTCCTATAGGAAATGTTAAGCCGTATGCATAAAAACTAAGCAATTGCTTTTTTTTGAAATTGCATACCTTTCACTTAAATTTGTTTGAACATAATATTTGAATTATTAATAAACAAGCACATGTACTTATTGCCAATAACAATTTCTATTTTATTTCGTTTAAAACTTTTCTTTATATATTTATGATTACATAAATCGGTTCTCGTTTTATTACACAGGATCATCTCTACTTTTTATAGAAAATTTTGAAAAAAAGTGAAACTAAGTGAAGTATTTATTATTGGCAGAATTAGTGTCGAACCCTACGTGACTGCTTCTAAAAGCTATCGTGTTTCACGTGGCATATAAGACTTAATTTCATTATTACATTACTGTTTTTTATATGTATGTATATGAATAGGATATTATATATTTATGTATTTAAAAACCCACAACTTTAAGACCGCTCATCTGAACTTGTTAAGATCTTGCCGTGTCACAAACATATTCGTTATTATATAAGGACTACTACGAAGAATATGAAAAAGAATATCAGTACTGCGAAGATTTTAATCATCAGTTTGGAAGTACTTCAATATTTCACCATGCGCCGCTTCTATGTTCAATTCGGCATCTTGTATGTTTGTATCGATACGCTCCAGAGTCTCCTCTTGCTCCTTAACCACATGTGCTGATTGTTGAAATATACCGCCTAGCTCGACAATAGTCGATTCAACGTTCTGCATAGTCTCAGCCCGCTGTTGCACGTAACTATCGGAGTCATCATATAATGCAATCTGCTGCTGCGTCTGTATTCCACTACCTCCGACTGCACCCAGCAATGGTGTTGTATCACTTGCGGCCATGTCAATGCTTACGGCCGTATTCTCTTCGCTTGACAGCAAGGAGCCCTGTTTCGCTGTACTCGAGCGAACAGTGCTAGCAGCAATTGGTGACTGCCCGAATTGATCCCGACGCGCTTTTTGTTGTTGAGATTTTTTATACGCACTTCTAGTATCTGTTTGAAGTCGGTGCCCATGCTGGCTAATTTAGATTGTAACGCATACACCATGATGTAAGTCAATTCTTGAATCTATTGCGGTCGATCATCAACAAGACTCTTCTTTTTAGCCACTGCAAAAGAAGAGGTAAAGTAATATTTATAATTAAGAACACCTATTCATTTTATACTCACACATTGTCAATTTTTCCAACTTGGCATATGCACTTGCTATGTTTTTGCCAATATATTTGTGACCATCATAAATTCCTTTCATACGTCAATTGTTGCACCATAGCCTGTAAGAAATGCGTAAACATAATAATGTAAACGTCTTCAAATGCACTTCTACTTCTAACTTACTTGTAAGTCTCTAATCTGTTGCTCGTACATAAATTGCGTCTGCGTCGAGGTCTCTATCCGATTGCGGCCTTGGTTTACATTGGCCTTATCCGACAACTGGCGTATGATAAGCTGCGCCATTTCCAACTCATTTGACTTTTCTTTGAACTGATGTTCAACATCGGGAGCACGTTGCTGCATTACATCTAACAGCTTTTTCATTTCATCCAGATGAGCCGCTTGATGTGGCCAACACCCAAAAGGTTTGTTTACAAAGTGCATTTTTGAGTAGTTGAACAAATGCCAGTGGGCAGCTAGCGGGTCAGTTGCTGGCAACAATTTGCAGGCTTGGGCCACCGTTTGTTGCGGCTGCCGGAAAAGTAGCTAAATAATGAAAGTAATTATATGTATAGCGGAGTAGGAGGTTTTCCTTTATTTTAAAAACTTGCTTACTGATTTCACTAATTGACGACGATGCAACGATCACCGTGGAATCGTTCTGCAAATTGTTACCAGCAACTGACCCGCTGGCGGCCCGCTGGTATTTGTTCAATTACTGAAAAAATGCAAATCATTATAATGATTGCAGTGTTTTAACACTTTCAGCGATTTGCATTGCATTTAAGAAGTACACGTTCTTTACTTTTAAACAACCAATTTACCATTTAAAATTAAATAATTCCGTAAATCCGCGATTTATTATGCACTTTGTAAACAAACCTTTCAATTTCGCCCCAGCTGTTCGATTCTTCTTCTTTTTCTTATTGAATTCGTCTTCGCTCTCTCATTCTGGTATTTTTTGACGTCACGGCCAGTTGCTCTCAGCTCGATTGGCCCAATCTTGCATTCTATCATTCTTGATACACATGTATGTACATACATACATATGTTCAACTGCTCGTGCAATACAATCAAACATTTTTTCTCCAAATGCTTATTTCTTTCTCATCTTTGCGAAATTTCCAACTGATTTCATCCTATTATTGGACTCTTTCCGCCTTTTGCTCGAAAAAGGCCTTCTCAAATGTCCACTTGACTTTAAGC